GAGAGAGAGAGAGAGAGAGAGAGAGAGAGAAGGTAATGTGAGTGGTTTGGAGGTTGTGGAACTCACCTTAAGAATGCAGGTTTATGATTGATTACATCATATTCCTTTGATTGCCGTAATTAAGTAAAATGTCGGACGATTGGTTGAATCGCTTGTTTTTGTCACTCCCCTTTGATTGCCAGTAGCAGCGGAATTCAGGAAGATTGTCATTCCCCGATTTTGGAATTCACTATTTAACGCTTTTTTGGGCAAAGAGCGGAATTCATGAAGATTGTCATTCCCCGTTTATTGGAACTTGAGGATGTAAAAGCTCCGGTTTTTTTTTTTTTGCTTACAATTTGAATTCTTCGGTTTTTGGCACTGAGCGATGGAGAGACGGTTTTGGAATTGACTACAGATGTCCGTTATGAGTATTTTCCTTTTTTTGGGGAAAGCAACTCACCGTTGTTGACGATTGGAAGAAAGAGGACTTTTTTTTTTTTTTGCCGTGAAAAATGATCGTAGAGATCTTATCAGCTGATGTGAAAGGCCATTTTAGTCGTTTTTTTTTTTTTTTTTTTTTTCAATTTGCATCATTTCTCGATTTATGCGTGTCATCCTTGATTGATGGATGGATAGCAGTAGTAGACCAGTGAGTGGGAATTTTTTAGTACAGAAAAAAGTAGTAAAAAACGCCAAAAAAGAAAAACAAATTGAAATATGAACCGAAAAATCTCACAAGTACTGAGGAGTTCTTCGAGCCTTTTTTTTTTTTTTTAATAGAGAATTGCAAGGTACGTTCTTTTCTTTCTTTTTTTTTTTAGCACTTTTTAATGTCCGTACTGAGGATTTCGAAGTTTGCTCTTTTTCACATGGTTGCTGTATGGGTATTCTACTGTCCTACCCGAATAGAACGCCGGGTCACAATATCTGTATCTGGACGAAAAGCTGCCCTCAATTCCGCTACAATGACCGGGCGTTCTATTCGGGTGAAGACGGTAGCAGCTTGAGAAGGACTTCCTTCGAGCGGGAATTATTTTTTACTATTATAAAGAATCAAATCGATAAAACGCATATTTCTTTTTCTTAGGACGAAGACTTTGCTGAAAGCCTACAGTCTTCCCCCGAATACAACGCACGGTCGTTATAGCTGACTTTGGTTGTATCTTTCAGTCTAAATTCAGCTATAATGACCGTACGTCGTATTCGGGGGAAGACTGTAGGGGAGCAATTCAAAGACTCATAGGGGGTTTGTGAATTCCGTCCGCTAAGAGGATCGATGATTACTTTATTACGTGGCAACTTGCGCGAGTGTGCCATTTAATCGCTTCTTTGGAGTATCAAGATGTTCTTTTTGCGAGGGTATTCCACCCAGCTCAGAAGAGAAGGCGATCTCCGCTGATATCAATGTTGATATGATTAAATACGATATCACTGTTCTTAGGCCGAAGACTTTCTGTTCTCTCGCGAACACGGTTCTGGCTGTTACGGGGGGTCCTCGTATCGCTTTAAGTAGTAGTGGAAGGTAGGTTGTGTGTGTGAGGTGAAATTGAGAGGAAAAAAAGAAAAAAAAGATAGAAAACGTGCATAAATAATGATCGTGCGTTCTATTTGAGGGAACCCTAATACGGCTGTACTGACCGTGCGTTCTATTCGGGACAAGACGGTGGGGGTGAAGACGAAAATGCTGTCCCGATTAGAACGCACGGTCAATAACGGAAAGTTGCTACTAGTTCGGCTATGATGACCGGGCGTTTTATTCGGGGAGAGGCCGAATAGTGCTATGATGACCGTGCGTTCTATTCGGGAGACGAGGGTGCGGAAGACGAAAGGCTAATTGCACGAACTCGTGCGGCATGAAACGATTTCCTTCCGCCTCCCACCCTCTCCGATCAAAGCCTTATGTATTTGGGGCATCTTGCCGTCTAGATACAGCCACAATGACCGTACCTCAGAGGAATATTCGAGCGGAGACGGTGGGTCGCGGTACCGCCACCCACCGTCTCCGCTGGAATATTCTTCTGGGGCACGGTCCCACAACTTAGTAGTACGATCCGTTAGGGCCGTCCATTCCACGCAGATCTGACGGCACTGCTTTTTTCATCAATTGTTTGGTTCGTATGCCGTTTTTCATGTTTGGGAATGAAAATGGATCCCCCTCATTGGCCATGCATAAAAAAGAGAGAAGAAAACGCATCGGAGGGGGCTCTTCCCTCTAGAGCTATTTTCTTTCGGGTAGAGGGCAGTCACGAGTTCCTTTTTTTTTTTTTTTTTTTTTTTTTTATGTTGTCCGATGGACCACGGATCAGAAATTCAGTAAAAGTGGAGTATATATAATGAATTTCAAAAATATTATGAGTGGGCAGTTGGCCTGTCAGAATGGGAAGAGTCGTCGGTCCACCCCATGAGTTCAGCATCAGAGACGTGTGGAGAGGCTGGTAATGTATCGGGCGCATAAAACGGGCCCATACATTTCGGATAAAATTTCGCTGTCAGGCGCTCTTAAGGCGGGAACCACTAGCAGGATTCGGATTGCTCACACATTTTGAATGTATAGGACCTAGTACATGTCCAGATACACGAAGTATGCTGTATAGTCTTCCTCCCTTTCTCTCGCATGTGTTAGTTGTCATTGGCGCTGTGTCTGTGTTAGCGCAGCTAATCCGGATTTACTTTCTCTATTTGGAATTATTTCTTGAAGTGTCTTAATACAAAAATCGCATGTCCTGTTTGACAATCGCTAAGGCTAATCCGGGTGCTAGTGGGACCGTGCCCCTGAGGTACGGTCATTATGGCTGTATCTGTAGACGGCAAGATGGCCCAAATACATACGGCTTTGATCGCCACACTCTCTCTCTAGTAGGTGAGGATCGCAGTGTTCAGCTCGGACGGACGAAAGGATGAATTTCGGTTGACGTCAAGGATGTATCGACGGCTGGAGATTTTTTTTTTTTTTTTTTTTTACGGGCCCAGTTCAGAAGTGGAAAAGTACACGTCTACAAAGGAAAAACTAGTCGGAATTTGTTTTTGTGAAAGAAAGATATGTTCCATGACATGGCAGAACGCCAGACTTAGTTAAGAAGATGCGAGGTGAGAGAATAAAAAAAAAGATAAAAAAAATTGTGGGGAATCTCGGAGGATATTGTTGGCCTCCAGCCTTTCTTTTTTTTTTTTTGAAAGTGCCTAATCGTCCTCGAGTTCTCCTTTTTATTTTTTTCCCCTTCGTCTGTCTTTGATTTGCAAAGGGCGACAGCGTCGAGATGTCATCTTTGAACTGACCAGCCCCATCAGAGTACTAAAATTTTCGGAGTTAATGTTAGTCATCTGATTCCATCAGGATTCGATCTCGGTCTGTATTTCAACATTTCATGGGTAGACCGGTTGGTTTCATCAAGATTCGAACACGGGTCTGTATTTCAACAGGTCATGGGTAGACTGTCGGTACCGACGGGCCTCCATCAGGATTGAGACTCGGGTCTGCATTTTAACAGACCAACTGAGCGAGGCCCGTTGGTAGGATTGAAAAAAAACGTTTTGGGGCTGATCGGCAGGGCCTCTCTCGATTTGGCGTCATCATGTCGTGTTGACGTCCTGCGATATTGCGGGCGGGCGACGAGATGAAGAAGAGGAAGAACGTAAGCAATGGCCAAATTGCTCTTCACACGCATTCCATAAAACATGGTTTCTCACATACGTGTATTTCGCTCAAACGCGCACGCATTCCTCTACATGTTTCAACTGGGTGCGCCCCGGTCTCATCAGGAGGCTTTCCGCTATCCCTTCACCTATCGGCCCACCTCTGGAAGCGAATCTGCGACAGTGGAAGCATAAACTCACTCGCGGTACAAGTTTGTTGGATGTATCTGGCGTCAAATTCGGCCCGACCTCTGTGAATCTGTCCGTAAACACGTCCAAATAAGCCGTCGAACAAGGTCCTGGCGTTAAGTACGCGCTGCGCAGTCGAGGTAGTAGGGAGCAGCAGTATTTGGAGTCCGGTAGCGAGCCGACATTGTTGTATCTAGACTGAGTCAGGGCGTACTTCTTTTTTTTTTTTTTTTTTTTTTTTGAGTCAGGGCATACAAAGACCAAAAATTTCCTGAATGCATCTGACCGCGATCACGTGCGTTATTAGTGTGCTGCACGTTCGAGTTTCGTACGGATCCATGAGAGATGACGGCATGAAAAAAAAGCAGGCTACGACCCTCCGTAAAAAAAAAACTAACTGGCCTACAGTCTTCCGTCGAATACAACGCACGGTCATTATAGCTGAATTTGGTGTATCTTTTAGTCTAAATTCAGCTATAATGACCGTACGTTGTATTCGGGCGAAGACTGTAGCTCAGTTGGTACACCCCCGAACTGTTGAAATACAGAACACTCTTGTTGTCGTGTTTGTTGGATTTTTCTTTTGCCCTTGAAAAAAAAAAAATCCTTTTCCTTCCTCGCTTTGATTTTTTTTTTCATCTTTTTTTTCAGTAACTTGAAAAGAAGGTTGATGGCAGAGATGTGAAATTTTCGCAATTTCTTTCGCTCGGGGAGCCAAACCTTTTGCAGACGACGTAGACAGGGAACGGGGTGTTGTAAGCGGTAGAGTGGCCTTGTCGTCACGATCTGTTGAGATTCGGCCCTTTGTTCCAAAGGTTAAAAATAATAATAATAATAATAATAATTCGAAGGTTGATGCCAGAGGTGTTCTTCGCGAAATTGAAATTGAACGGTACAGAAAAACAGAAGACCGTTGAAATTGAACGATACAGAAAAAGAGAATGTGTGATGTGGGAGATCCGCATGTGGCCTCTGCGCAATCCAAGGAGAACGCGCATAAATCGAGAAACGGTCACAAAAAAAAATAAAAATTGTCTTACTTCTGGTTCGTTGGTTGGTTGGTTGGTTGGCCAAGTTGGTTGACTGTTGTGTCACACACGCGGCACCTTTTTTTTTTTTTTCCGAATTTCGACCATTTCTGGATTTGTGCGTGTGATCGTTGCGCAGGGGCCATAATGCTAATCTTCTCCGTAACGTTGTCGATTTTTTTAAATTCATTTGCTTTTTAACTCGGCACTTTTTTGTCGTTTTGTGTGCGTCCTGCCTCAGGTTTGGTTGAGGGGCCAACCGTGCCGCCTTCGTCATCATCTCCCTCTGCAACACCGACAGTACCGAAAATTCCGCCGGCGACCATCGGCTCCATGAATGCCAGTTCCCCGGGATCTGCCTTTCCGTTTCCGTCGTCGAGTCCCAGTCCCAATCCCAATCCCTCGGCGTCTGGCCCTGCAGGTGGTACCGGTGCGGCAACGAACACGAATGCTACGGATCCGCAGAGCGTGGGCGGCGGGGGCGGCGCGACGTTGCCGCCCGTGCCGGACAACAGTGTCCCACAGGCCAACCCGTCGTTCCCTTCGGGCGTGGGGAACGACTCCACGCCGCTGAGCCCGCAATCAACCTCGTCGTTGCCCGCGGGAAACTCCGTTCGCTGGTGTGTAACGAACGCCAAAGAGGTGGAACTGTGCAAGACGCTGATCACCTACCTGCAGCCTGTGACCCCTAGTTATACGTGGAGCTGGTGAGTTGGCTGATAAAGAAAATGGGAAAAAAAAGAAAAAAAATGGATTTTGTTTTTTAATCGAAAAATGGGAAAAAAATAAAACAAGGGAAAAGATGGAAACTTTCAACAGGAATATATCTATGAATGAGCTAAATATGTGTAAACATTCCAAACAGCTTGTAAATAATGAGCTAAAAGTTTCACAGAATGGTCGTCCAAACCATCAGAACACAAGACTCCCTTTTGCCCAAATGGGGAAAAATGAAAAAAAAGGGGGGGGGAAAATAGAAGAAATGGGAAAAATGGAAACTGGTGTGTAACGGCTGGTGTGAAACGAGCGGCAAAGAGCTCGATTTGCGTTGAAAATGGAAAAAAAAATGATTAAAATTCGAGGGGGGAATGGAAAATGGTAAAAATGTAAAAGGGAAAAAAGCGAAAATGAAAAAAAAATTAGAAATCGAGGGGGGGCGGGCGGAGAAATGAATAACACTAGGCTACCAGCCGGGCCGCCGGGGCGACCTTGTTTTCCCGGGCGGCCCGGCCGTGCAAGGGCCAAAGTAGGTCTCAGCAAAAAAAAAAGCAAAAAACATAATAAATCGAAAAAATCTGCAAAAAAACTATATTATGCAGAAAAATAAACTGAACAACGTTTGCCTTAGGGTCGCATCCAAATTCTTTACCAAATAAACTCTAATGAAGAAACAAAACTAGTTTGGTTTTTCTTTTTGGCCCGGCCGGGCAAGTGGTCCCGGTCCACTCTGGTAGCCTAGGAGTAAATGGGAAAAAAGGTAACAAGGTAAAATGTAAAAGCATGGAAAAAAAAAAAAAAAAAGTAAAACCATGGAAAAAAAAAAGAGGTACAATTGAAGAAAAAGAAGGAAAATGGTGACGTGAAATAAGTGAGCAAGAGCGAAAAATGAAAAGAATGTCTTGAACGACCTCTTGAAAGCCGTAATATGTAAATAACAAATCCAAAAACATGCCTAGCCGAGCTACTCCCGAGTTCCAAGCTCAACCAAAAAGCTAATCTCTCGCCCAATCGCACAATTGCACGTGCGCCCCATACGCACTGAGGCAAATGAATGAAAGCGATCCAGGACCTGTTCTTATGAATTGAACTATTGTGCGCAAGCTCGGCAGTATCTCGGCTCGGGAGTGGATCAGAGCAGGATCGCTTTCATTCATTTGCCTCAGTGCGTGTGCTGCGCACGTGCGAGAGATTAGCCTAGCCTTTTGGTTGAGCTTGCAACTCCCATGATGGAGGGGTCGCGTGTTCGACTCTTAATGAGAAATCGCATCATGGACGGAAAATAGGGTGACCCGGCGGCTCGGCTGGTAGCCTAGGTCGCAGATTAGAAAAAATAAAACACAGATGAGAAAAACAACCAAAAAAACGTCGCACATAGAAAAAAAAAACGTCGCACATAAAAAAAAAAAGAAAACCGTCGCGGATTATTAAAAAAGATAAAAAACGTCGCACATTAAGAAGAAAAACAGAAAAAAAAAGGTCGCAGATGAAAAAAACAACAGGAAAAAAACCTGCCAGATTATAAAAAAAAAGAAAAGGGTCAAGATGAGAACTTGCTCCTCTATCTAAGTTCCGTTGTTATGTGTCTGTGTGTCTTTTCAGCGTTCAGAAGGTGAGCTATAATGCGTGCATTGACGCGATAGATGCTCTCGTCCCGGAGGCGGATATGGTAAGCTTGGACCCGGGGTGGATGTACTATGCCTTTTTTGAAAGGCGAATGATGCTCATTGCTATCGAGGATCGACCCTACGGTTACTTGCCCCATGCCGTTGCGGTCGTTAATGCGCAACTCTGTGATAAGCAGGCCCGGGATAAGAAGAGGCCCAATCTGCAGATCAGCGACTTGCGCTCGCTTCGAGCCTGCCTACCGGGATACCGACTGGCTGCGGGTTGGAATTTCCCAGCCAAATACCTTCTCGACAACAAGCTAGTCACGCCCAAGAACACCAACCCCACCCTTGCCAACGATATCGAAATGTTCCAGTCGTTCTTCTCGAAGGCTTGCATGCCGTCGCAAGAGGCGTCTGTCAGCATATGCAGCAGCTGCACGGATCAATGCACCATCCCAGAAGGGCAGAAATCCATCTACGAGGGGTATGTGGGGGCCTTCAGGTGCTTGATGGAAGGCAAGGGGGATGTGGCCTTTCTCAGAAACGGTGTCGTGCAGGATTACTCGCAGACGGGAGTGATGGCTCTTGCCTGGGAGCAGGAGTTCAACAGCACGTGGGCAAACTTGAGGATGGCCAGCGAATTCCGGTGTGTAGCAAGGAGAACTTAACAAAGCTCGGGTGTTTTTTTTTTTTTTTTTTTTTTTTAACTCACTCAATTCACTTGCTGATATGCAAATGAATGAGCGTTAGGGCCGGATAAAGGTCTATAATTGTTGTTGCTGCTGGATTTGTTTTCTCTTGTTTGTGTCGTTGTGGTTGTTGTTGAAAAGGATTTCACACCACAGTCTGTGTCCCGACTCCTGGTCCCATGTGTGTACCGACTCGCACGGTCCCAAAGTCGCAATGGCCCCAGCCTCACGGAAATAACTGATTTTGTTTGCCCAGTGGCCGAGGTGGAGCTGGTTGGTTGATCTCGGTCTTTAATGTCGTCCTTGATTCTGTTTCGGATTCTGTTGTGGATTTTGTTGTGGATTTTGTTGTGGATTTTGTTGTGGATGTGGGGGTAGGTACTAGCCCGCGATGCTCTTATCACCGCGGACAGTACCGTCAGCAGATTAAAAAAAAGAAAAAAAATGATTTTGTTTCAAACTTTGCTCGGCATTCCCTTGCTTCCCTTGCGCATCAGCGAGAACGAAATGTGAGATGGATTGTATATGCACTGCAAAGATTCTGAGAATGACAGTCAGATAAAGTTCTGCTGCCCAATTATGATAATTGTAATCATGATGATATGAGATCGGAGAGAGATATTGGTGACCGGTTCCATTTTGGTGGGTGAAAAAAAAAAATACCAGTAAAAGCCTAAAAGCACATATTTTGGTGGATTAAAAAAAAAAGATAACAGTAACCATTACGTACTCCATCCAGCAATTAAATCGTGGATTGGAGAAAAAAAAAAAATCATGGATTGGGATTTGATAGTACAATTGGCAGATGGAGAGAATGGGCAGTGAATTGCTATGTGTAGGAATCTTAGACCTGTTTGTTCGAGATTATGCTTTTTGTTCTTTTGGTGAACAATCAATGGGAGTTGATTATCCATGCTAGGAGGAGGAGGGTGTTTGTAATGTTTTGTTAGTCGTAGAAGCACACAGTGGATTGCACTGTCAGTTTGTCTCCGTTTGTCTCTCTTTTTAATCCTCGTCTGTCTCTCTTTTTAATCCCCGTCTGTCTCTCTTTGTCTCCGTTTGTCTCTCTTTGTCTCCGCGCGTCTCTCTTTCTCTCCGCCTGTCGCTCTTTCTCTCCGTTTGTCTCTCTTTTTCGCCGTTTGTGTCCGCTTCTCCCCCCCTCTCCATTTCTCGGTTTCTCCGTTTCTCCGTTTCTCCGTTTCTCTTCTCCGTTTGTCTCCGTTTCTCTCCGTTTGTCTCAGATTGTCCCAGTTTGTGTCCGTTTCTCTTCGTGTTTATCCGCTTGTCCCATTTTGTCTCAGCTTCTCTTTTTTCTCTCCTTTTTCGCCAGTTTGTCCCAGTTTGTCCCAGTTTTCTCCAGTTTGTCTCAGCTTGTCTCAGCTTGTCTCAGCTTGTCTCAGTTTTGCTCTCCGTTTGTCCCCGCTTGTCCCTGCTTGTCTCAGTTCTCTCCGTTTGTCTCAGAATGTCTCCGTTTGCCTCCGTTTGTCTCAGCTTGTCTCAGTTAGTTCGGTGAAAGTGTCCGAGGGTATCATTGGGTCTACTGGCTTTCGGCTTAGAAGCAGAGGCAGAGCGTTACTTACGGGATGTGGGGTCGGCCTCTGGGTGTTTTTGTTGGCAAGGATATGCAATCACTCGCTAACGGTTATTGTGTTTGATTATTGTGTTTGTCTGGGTCATCGGCCGGTGCCTTGTTGCAGACTGCTTTGTCCCGACGGTGGTTGTAGGAGCATCGCGGATGGCCCAGTGGGTTGCTCGTGAGTGTCCTCTCTCTCTCTCTCTCTCTCTCTCTCTCTCTCTCTCTCTCTCTCTCTCTCTCTCTCTCTCTCTCTCTCTCTCTCGTCATTGTGATGTCTTTCCTTTCCGTTGGTTTTCGGATTGGCAGTTGTATGGTTCT